AGAAGTGCAGCAGAGCTACTTAGTCAAATGGTTCCACGTCTTCCCAGACGCGTTCTCCCCGGGGCGGTTCACTAACCAAGGCGCTGAGATGTGCGCGAAAAGCCCGATTCCAACAGCATTCATTTGAAAGTTACCGACACTTTCCCACACGCGTGAAGATGGATGCCTAGATGGTTTCCCAAAGATTTGAAAAAGTGACTGACACTTCATGACCCGCTTTGGTCTATGGGAATGCATGCTTAGATGATTTCTTAAGCATTTGTAAAAGTGACTCACACTTTGCGACACGCTTTAGTCCATGTCAATGCGTGCGGATAGAGGTTCCTAAACATTTATAATAAAATAAACAATTGCCAGTCGGAACCTTAGCGGTAGGTTATCGGCTTATCAATGAGTATTACCTAATTTTCTGTTGAAATTGTTTTTTTTTAAATAACTATTCATGGCATTTTTGCTTCTATTGGCAAATTTATGCATTCTACTCACAGCTTATCTAACATGGTCCACAGGCCTACTTTAGTAGACACAGGAGTGCCATTAAAATGAAAATAAGTGGATTCTACGTAATTAGACAGCGCGCACCCTGAAGGGTATGAACACGTTGGCTCTATGTCAAAATAAGCAGGTACTAGTGTGTCTACTTTTTAAAACAAACTATTAAATCTATCAAAGGTGCAAATGCCTTTAAAGCTGGCCTAATTCTGCTTCTGTTGGATGCAATAGGAGTGCGGCTAAGTACCTGTTTGTGGCATGTAGTGGTCATGGGCTTTGGAGCTTGGTCTTCAGAACTAACATGCCGGCCGCCACCTCGGGAATGTAATTGAGCATTGACAACGTATGAAAGATCTTTCCGCAGCCCCTCAGAGCAGACGAATGATCGCACCAGATCAAAGCGGTTTCTCTGATGGGATAGCAGGATTTTTAACAGGAAATACAAGGTTTGCTTGCTGATTTTACCGGCGGCATGTGCTTTTATCCAATAATCGTGTTGGCCAAACAAAACTTATGCGTTGCCATTCGAGTTGAAAAAAATCGTTTCCGGTTGCGCGTTATGCGGCCTGCAGTCCCTCGTCCCGAAATGCAAAAAACAACGCTCCTTTTGGTCCAGGCCGCCAGCCCTGCGCTCCCGCCCTGTTTTGCCTATTTTTTTTGTCCGCGAATGTCGCACATCGTAATTAATGAGGTGTCAATT